GGAAATGAATCGCACGCGACCGCGTCGCAGCTGTACTCTAATGTCATCATATGGTGTAGGAGACAGGGCACATCGTACGTTGGGATCCCACCTTGGATAGGGTCGTATTCTGCGAATTTTTTCTTCAAATAAGACGTGCCCTGGTATTAGGCTCGTTCGAGTGTGCCTTGTCGTTGTTATGCTCGAGCTCTCTTTTCTAATAGATTTTTCGTCACGCTTCTATCTAACCAAATCCGCATTTTCTGTCCTCCCTCTATCGCTTGGTATACTAAAGTTGCTTTCAGATGGAGGTCATAAGCGTCAAGCTGAGTTCTGGAGACGTTCATCGTCGATTCAAGATACGGGTAAGATCTATTCAAATGTTCACATTGTTAGTTCCGGATTCAGGAATGTCCGTGCCTGCTTTTGTCTCCACCGCACGCCGCACGCACGAGATGCTTGTCGCGTGCGACGAAACCGCGCTGTCGTTGTTGTTAAAGAGGGCGGCCATGTAGGGGGGGGAGGTGTGGGGGACCCCTCGCCAGAGTCTCGTATCCTTTTCTCTAGCAAGGCTCATGCTTAATGAACGTTACTTCTTCTGTTGGCACTATCTCTCGCCAATTATGGTCGTTTGCGCTCTAAGCCTAAGCCTTTTGCGGGAGGATATGGAGACGCTGACGAGTGGAGCCCTCCCCGAGTGTGACAAGTTGGTTCATATTTCGTAGTAATGGAAAAAAGCTTTCAAAAGCGGCCGCGCGACTATACCGTACTAATGCGAACGTATCTATGTACCTCGCGAGGTTGGGATGCTGTGGCAACGGCTTTTTGGGGAAACCAGATGGATTAGCGCGTCAGACGCCGGGAAATACACTGTATTTGGGTGTCAACTGCAGGGGACTGCAGGTTTTTCTTCACCGGAAAAAATTTGTCCCATTGATGGGATAAGGGGGTGTCCCGCCGTTAGAGAAAAGTTCTGTAAAGTACAACCCTAAAATTTATTTGTTCTGGAACACGATGTTCCCTCCTACCGAATTGCCAAATACGACCCCTTCCCCAGACCCACGTTGGGTATCCCCAGTGGGAATCTGGGCGGGAAGCAAATATGTCGAAGGCCACGCTGAAAAAGTTGGAAATACATAAAACAACCAAGAATACAGAGCTGAGCGACATTGTCAAAGGGTTAAGAATTGTAGCACTAACGATTTTTTTTGGGGGGGGGGGGAGGAAGGGACTCGCATACGATCGGGGTCGGCATTGTCTCGTGAAAGGAAGTGATCTACGCTAAGCTTATTTGAAGAGAGACGGGGCAGAGTTGATTGGAAGAATGACAATTAAGGAAAGGAATGTTCAGGTACGGTAGGACCAAACGAAACCAGCTGGCGAAGCTGAAAATAGTGTAATCCTACGACATGTAGTGTAATACGCGCTCAAGTAATTTAGAGGCCATTGCTCCTCAGCCCTCACTCTTTTAGTCGAGCATATTGTTTTTGTTTTCAGGGCAATGATATGAGTGAACTCTTCAAGGATTTGACCGAGAACCTCTCTCAGATTTCTCAATCAACAGGAGAATTCGATGCCGCATGGCAAGGTTAGCCTTCTGTAGAAGTACAATGTTAGTACTGCAATTGGTAGTGTAATATGGTGAAGCTCCTAAATAGCTCCTAAATAGTTCGGCTTGGAGGGGTCATCGAGTGGTATCCAGCGAAGCTTGTCCTGTGCATTTTGTGAACACTTGTAAACTCCTGACAAAACTGCAAATTATCGGGGCAATTTTGTAGCTTCACAAGATTCCTTCTGCAAGTTCCTGTTAGTTAACATAACTAGCAAAAGAGCGAAATGCTCCCTTAAAGCCGAATAAGGCATTGTAAGTCGAAGACACGGCCCGACTGGGTTTCCAGGCAGGTGGGACCAATAAATGACATCATTGCGCATCCTGCTCTTCCCACTTTCTTCACCGCCTGAGAGGGTGGGTAGGGAAGAGCGCCAATGACGTGGGTTCCTGGGCCCCCTCACTCGGCCATCTTGAATTGTGTTCTCAAGAGAAGGAGGGGCATCTACTTATGTAACATGGCAGCGTACGGTTTTCACCATATTTATCATTACTTTTAAGGGCGAGTTAGGAGATCCGAAGTGCAATGCCGTCAGTGCAACTTCCCTGATGATGTCGCGTGCGCGGCATTCACACCAAGGTCTAATTGATTTCTTTCGAAAGTGTAGCATCAGGCTAAGCCAACCGACTAGGAACGCCGGCCGCGCGTGACAACTTAGTTTTCGCGATGCAGATCTCCTGACCCTTCTCTGACTTAGAAAATATTTGTCCCGTCTGTAATTTTTACGTGTCACAAGTTAGCTCAAGGCTTGCAGAAATGTGAGTACGAACTACCCTTAGAACTGCGCCTCAATTAAATTTGTTCAGATGAAGATGGTGACAACATTGTGATCACTCGCCCCGTGGAACTTGGAGAAGCCATCGAAGCACGCAAAGATGCGACCCTAAGACTTCACTCAGTAGAAAAGAAAGTTGAAAAGGTTGAATCGAGGCCGGATAGCAAAGCCCAGACCACTGAACAGAGAACTGGTCCTTCAGAAGTAAGTGCCCATATTTTCCATTTTTACATAAATGTCGCCACGGGTAATGCCAAGACAATCGTAATACGTCGCGCTAGTGGGCGTGGCATACGCCGCGCTTGACGGACTAGTCCTGCATGGCCGTTTGAATTTGAGTGTTGAAGGACGGACATATCGCCTATCGCGCTGTCTTGTTACTGCTTGATTTCATAAAGTCTCGCTGTTGCAATCATGACACTGAATGCACATTGGGAGTTTGCCGCGCGTCGGTACGCCGCACGCGACGACGCGACAAATTACGATTGTCTTGTCCGTGTCCCATGACTCTCGGGTGAACCTAATACGAGTTATTCGTTCTTTATGCACCGCGGATGCTTCCTCTGGACACCTGTAAATCGTGCAAAGCTTCGCCTAGCAGGATTTCGTGTCTACAATTTTCATGAAAGTGCAAAATACCCCTTCTATGCCAAATATCGTCCGAAGTTCTTTTTGAAGGGAGCTGTCCATAAGGATGTGCTATGCGATATGTGCGATGGTGTGGTGATCGGAATCCGATATAGGTGTCTCCTCTGCGTCGACTACGATTTGTGCCAGAACTGTGAAAGAACCGGTGAGTTCTTTTACTACGGTAATTAATGAAAATTGGTCAGCGTTACGCTGGAAGAGGGGGCATAGTGTAAGTGCCAGTTGTAAAAATGTGTCGATCGAGTTCTTAGTCTGTAAATACTACTTTTCCAGGAGTTCATGCTCATCATGGTATGATCCGCATTGTGGATCCCCTACGTACCTTTGTGCCATGGGGTGCTCGCCTGAGATACATGCCATCAGGTCGTCAACGTAAGTTTTTTTTTCTGTTAGGCTGCGTTTATACTTTGCGGCAGCGTAGCATAGCGCCTCTAGCGTTTTACTAGTGTCCGAAATTGTTGGTGGCCCGATACTCAATTGTAAAGTTGTAGTTGAGCATGATGAGAGACCATCGCTGGAGTCGATTCGCCGTATAAGACAGGAATGCCCTTTTTACTCCCATAGATGGCGAGAAGCCGCTTGTGATCGGTAAGCAGCTTGAAAGGGCGTCCGTGGAGATAGCGATGGAATTTCCGCACTGCGAAGACCAGAGGGTCTCCTTCTTTCTCCACTTGTCCATAGTTCCTCTCGGCAGCAGTGAGGGTGCGGCAAGCGTGCCCAAATTCGGAAGCATCGGTCGCAACGACTATTTCTTGGCGGAATCAGGTGGTTGAGCAACAGATCCGACGATAAAACCTCCTTGGCGCGGTCGAAGGCTTGTTGACAGTCGGATGACCAGTTGAACGGCACGTCCTTCTTGAGTAGTTTATCCAGTGGTGCGCGAAGTTGGCGCATTTCCTCAACGAAGGCTCCATAATAGTTGAGTAAGTCCCAGGAACGATCGTACTTGTCCGATATCCTTGGGAGGCGGCATCTTCTTGATAACCTCTGTCTTCGCAGGGTCAGGATGGCGTCCATTTGCATCGATGATATTGCCAGATAGCGGATTTGGGGCATCAGGAAACTGCACTTCTCGATGCGGACGCGGAAGCCGAATTTGTGGATTCTTGTTGAACAGGGCTTCCAAATTGGCGTTATGTTCCTCTGTGGTACGACCAGTAACGATGACGTCGTCTGAGGAGGCAGCGCGTCCATCCAATCCAGCAGTCATGGAATCGATGCTGAAACATTCCTGGTGCTTGCTCCGAATGGTAGACGATTGTAGACGAATAGGACTCGGTGGGTGTTGATCGTCAGAAGTTTCTTCGAAGTATCATCGACTTCCACTTGCAGGTAGGCATCAGCGAAGTCGATTTGTGAGAAGACCGCGGGGAAACCCCACTGGATTGCTAATCCATTGGGGGTTCTCCGCGTGAGTCGCGGATCTCATCCTGATCGCCAGTGTTGTGTTCTCGAGCTGGAGACGAATAGGAATAGTAGAACAGCTTTATTACAGAAGAATAGTGGAATGATTATCACAGAAAGTACCGGCCTTATATACCGGTAAAAATGGGCGGAGTTGATCAGGATCACAGGCTGATCTTGGAATTCACGATCGCCTACAATGCCTTTGATCCTTTCACAAGATCAAGGCTCATCACTGATCCAACAGAATCTCCTGTGGCGACCCAACAGGAGATGGACCAGCAGCTGCACGAGAAGGCCCAACGAATACAGGAATGTGAAGATCTCCTGGTTTGTACTGAACTCGCCAGTTTCCTCCTTGTTTTGCTGAACATATAGAAACTTAGGTGGCGACCCAACAGGAGAAGGAACAGTTTCTGCTCGAGAAAGCCCAACGAATACAGGAATGCGAAGATCTCCTGGTTTGTATCGGACCGTTAGCAATCTCTTTCTAGTTTTATAGAACGGAAGCTCAGGTGCGACCCAACAGGAGAAGGACCAGCAGCTGCACGAGAAAGCCCAACGAATACAGGAATGCGAAGGATCTCCTGGTTCGTACTGACCGTTAGCAATCTCTTGTTAGTTTTACGGAACTTATGGAAACTCAGGTGGCGACCCAACAGGAGATGGAACAGCTTCTGCTCGAGAAAGCCCAACGAATACAGGAGTGCACAGATCTCAATGTTGAACTGGTTTGTTTTAGACGCGTTATGGAATTTCTTCCTGTTGTACAACGGTTTTAATAGGAAACTGGTAACTGCTCAGCGTTGGACCTGACAAATAATGACCTTAAAGGCACATTTCGCGATAAAATAAGGCTATGACCTCTCAAATGTGTCGGACGATCCGGAAGGCGATTTTTGAGGCTGCGCTACTTTCAAAATGTGAAAAACGGCAAGAACTCCGCTAGAAGCTGACTAATTAGGCCCATGGACACCCCTTAGGCCCATGCCGACCCTCACCGGCTGCTAGCTACTAGCTAGTAGCCACTATGTTATCTTTCTCTATAACATTTCGGACTGCTTTTTTTTTCTGCTGCTTTTTCTCCGCTAATCAGATACTTAGCACTTTTTGTGCCTCTTGAGTTCCATTTCCCGCAATCGCGGTCCGCGGAACTGTGCCTATTAATATGAAGCCTAAACACAAGATGCAAGAAACATGGGAAGGAAACCAATTTAGCATTTTTCGCACAGAAACATTGCAAAATGTTTCAATTCGTTGTTAGGTATTACATGGATGCTCATCGTACCACTGATGTGCTGCATTCAGGGATTTTGCATTACTGTATTAAGATTTTAGTTGACAAGAAGCTTCGGCAATTAAGTCACTGTTCCTTAGTTGCATCAAAACTTCTACCAAAAACCCCATTTCTCATCAATGAATTCGAACTGTTACACAGAAAGGGTTCTAGTTTTTGGGAGTTCTGGTTCCTCCAACCTGAACTCCTTGTACGCGGACAACTCCTCACGTTATTCAATGACTTTGCTTCTACATTCCCGATTCGTCCTGCTAGCAGCGTTTTGCGTACACATGGCCTCGCCCATTGAGACGTCCCTTCTAACTTCTAAAACAGCTGGTAAATCAAGCCGCCAACAGCCCTGGTCGGTCAATTGCTATTTGATGGTAATCGTCTTATTTTGCAGCAAAACAAGGGTTTTTTTGAGATCCACGCTTAGCACATTTAACCACACATGTGCTTGTAATATCTTGTCTGTTGTATTTCTACGAGCGCAGTTCTACGACGGGGGCCTTACACTTTGCTACTGACCAGAGAGGCATTTCGTGAGGGTTGCCAGGTTTTATGATGGTAGCTCGATGAACCTACTCTAGCCTAACAAAGGTTCACAGGTTTTTCCAGAGTGATTTTCGTAAACTGCAACCAGTGCAGCAGCGAAAGCGCAAAATGCTCCCCTGTCGCCGAACAACGCCCTTTCTGGGTAATATTTCACATTGACATAAGTCCACGGTTGTGTTTACTCACTTCTACTGAACTGTTATATTGTGTATCGTTTATCGGTCAGGTCTTTGTTTGCCTAGAGTTTATTGAATTGCCAACTGGAGACTGAAAAGGAGCAAGCTGTAAAAGAAAGCGAGCGACTACGCGAAGAAATCTCACGACTCAGGCAGAATCTCTGGCGTTGAATGCTGCGTTTGTATGGAGAGGAAGGTAATCCTGAACTGTTATCATCCTTTTCATCATTCACCTTTCTTCATCGTCACAGAAGGTTAGAACGTTCAACTTCGCGACAGCAGCGGCGATCGCGGCGATCGCGGCAACCTTGGCGACCTCGGCGACCTCGGCGATCGCCGCGATCGTCGGTACGTGGCAGAGCGCGCCCCAACGCTATTATGGACTGCTCGCTTGATAAATAAGGAAATCCAACTTGTGAGACCTTCTTTTCTCTTAATAATGGCTACTAACTGATAACTTACGACTTTCTATACATAAGCGGATCTGGAATATGAGGTAAGGAGGTTTCACTTCTTTTCAGGTCGGGATAAAACCAACTCCATTTCCTGGCTGAGCTTCTTTCTGCTTTTTTTTTGTTTTTTTTTTTGTTTCACGTTTATGCAAGTTCATAGTCTACAAGTGAGTTCAAAACAAAGAAGAAAAAAAAGCAGAAAGAAACTCCCTAGCAACCAAAGACCCTGATCATTTTAGCGCCAATCATGAAACAAGAAGAAAACTTTATAACCTTTAATGTAAGAGATAAACTCAAAAAAGAAACAATAAAAACCCTACGCTAAATGAAGCTCTCACACTTTTTGCTCATTTCTATCCTGAATCAAGAAAGAAAATAGAAAACAAAAGCCATTGAGTTCGGATCACCATTCTATGTGTCAAACCAAGCTTCACTACCTAAGAAAATTACAGTCGAAGGAAAAAAGCATGAAATTGAGTCGCTTCTTCCCAAAAGCCTTCGGAGCACAGTAATATGTAGCATTGGGGCGCGCTCTGCCATGTACGAAATTCGCCTAGCAACCAAAACACTCACGGCGATCGCTGAGGTCGCCGCGATCGCCGCTGCTGTCGCGAAGTATGAACGCTACCTTAGATGTCTGGAGAGGCGCGTCAGTGGTGTCATTCCATGGCTCCACCCACTTTACAATGCCGAGCGGTATCCAAAGATACAGTTCTAGATCGTATGTAGAAAGTCACCCCTACCGTTGTCCCGTTTGCCCTTGCTTCTCCTCCTCTTTATCGTCTTTAAAGACGGCTCTCGCGTAGAAGCGTCATGGATAGTTGCTTTTCAATTGTGAAACAGCAGCCGATAAGTAATCCCCAGAAAAAAAAAGCAAGAAGATTCCTCATAAACGCCATAAACAATATGTTTCCTAACGGTCACACCTCCCTGCGTTCTCACTCAACCCCATTCTCACAAATCCCTTTATTATAGCTTCCAGTACTGGATATCATCTAACGCCAAAAATAAGCAAGGAAAACTCTTGAGAAGGGAAAGAAACTCTCAAACACTCTCGCCCGAATTCAGGGTTACGGTAGCCGGCATTTTTTCAGCGTAGTGCAGTGCGTCGAGTTTCTGCACCACGAAATTGGGTCGCTCGTGATTTTTACGCGTTTTACCTTGCGAGATGTGTTAGGGTTGACTGTGTGTGCTCGTAATGTAATGTAATGAAGGGAAGCACAATCATTCATGGGCACGATCGCGGTCAGTGAAAGGACATGCGTTTCCGATTAATGCCCGCCGCCCCAACAAAGAACAACTGAGCGGCCCTTAGAGGGCATCTAGCAAGTGGGTGGTCCCTGGGCGGGCATTAGAACTGGAATTTTGGGCAGGTGCAGACGTTCCTCGATCTTGCGAAAGTGGGACTGTCTCTAGCTTGCGAGCTGTACTACTTGTACAACGAAGAACGACCACATACTCTTGAGCTCGGGGACTGTCTTTGAAGAGTTCTGCAACGAGCAAGTCCGACGGTTCGGATAACCCCACCACACGATCAGCAAGACCGTGTGTTACTGCTCAGTAGGAAGAATGAACACGTGAAAGATTTGGATGATTCCGACTGGTCGCGATTTCACAAGCATCGCACAACTTTGTGCTCACAGCGGCACCTTGACCATTTTTCACGAATTTCTAGTTTTTTTTGATGGCCAGTTAATTTTCACATGTGTCTTTCAGCCTTGCGTTGTATTCCTGCCGTGCCGCCATATGGTCATCTGTGATACTTGCCATGCTCGGTCAACATTCACTCAATGTCCTTTGTGCCGCGGACAAGTCTGTGACTCGATAAAA